ACTGGGATCAGGGTGACTAAGTTAGGCATGCATAACCATAGGAACACCCCTCCTACTCCTGCAGTCTTGACAGTCTTCAAAATATTTTTGTACACATGATTTTCTTGATCCCTGAAGCTATTTTGTGAGCTAGAGTGGACTTACGAATGCAGAGATGGCTACCGGGCAGCACTGAGTCCACTGTTCTCCATGCCCATGCTCATGGCAGACATCACTAATCAACAGGAGTGTTGGAAATCTCTCCATACAGACTTTTAGTAGCCCCTACCAATCAATTGAGGATCGTCATCCCTGGTAGTGAATGGAGGCCAATTATCTAACTCTCAGGGTGACCTGGGCAATTCTTGTCAGTTTTCCCATCTAAAATATAGGGAGATGAAAAATACTGGATGGTCTCACTCATAGCAGGAATTTAGAAAACCCAAATAAGAGACCAGGAAAAAGACTAATTAATACAAAGTAAAAATCAAAATCAAAAAATCAATAAGCAACTATGGAGACACACTGGGGGGGATGGGGGAGGCCGGGAGAGGGAGGATTAGGGTCAAAATAAGAGGGGGTGCAATTGTATGGGGAATATAACCAAAATGAAAATGCATACATTGTGCAAAGATGAAAAAAGATGTAAGAATTATATAAAATAAAATATTTAAATAAAAAAATAAATATCCAATTGATTTTTAAAAATAATTAATCTAGGGAATAAATAAGAGAATTAAAGTTGAAAAAAAAATAAAATATAGGGAAATGAGCTAGAGGTCCTGTGGAATGGCCTGTTGACAATCCTGTCTCTTCCTTCTTTGCTCCCTTTAGTACTGTCGTAGCTCTGTCTTGCATGGGCCCAGTGGTGGTCTCTCTCTGTGCCAGCCTGTTTTTCCTAAAGCTCTCCACTCAAGACCTTCCAAAGGCTTTCCGCTGCCTTCCTGAGGCAGCCCAGTGCAGAGCTTCATGATCTGGCCCTTCTGTTCATCTCCAAAGTCATTTCCCAGATTCCCACTCACTTACCTTAAGTTTCAGCCAAAGCAAACATGTTCAGCCCTGAGTGTGACCCACACTGCCCACCCCCCGGGCCTCTGCTTTTGCAGTTTCTCTGGTGGGGGTGCCTGCCTTCCCACCCCTCTCCATTGCTGCTTCTCAAAACCTGTCTCCAAAGGCCATCTTAGCAAATGCTACCTCCTCCTTGATGACACTGCAGACTCCCCTCAGTAGGGGGTGCTCTCTCCCACCTCTAAATTTAGTGCATCACTTTACTCTTTCTCTTTCCACATGCTATCCCTGCCGTTCCCTCAACCTTCTGACTGATTTAGGAAATTCCAGGTGACTCACAGCCAGCCCTCTCTGCAGCAAGCTGAGCAACACCTGTTCTGCCCCTTCCTTCCAGATAGGAGTGACACTGAAGGCATTTTCTGAGACCTATGTGGCGGTCCTGAGGGCCCACCTATTGTTCTTTCTCCCTCAGGAGGGGTGCAGGTATTAGAGAGGTGACTTCAGTTCTGAAAAGGGCCTGCATTTGCAAGGTCTATGCTCTAGTGAGTGTGGGGAGAGGGACTAGAAGACTGAGGCCAGTCAGAGGATAAGGCTGCACCTTCCTCCTCTCCAGGAATCTTATTATCTATGCATATGCTAAGCACTTCCTGAGACAGGGAGGAGCTGGTCCCTGCCCCAATTTTAGGAATAAGGTTGACAGACACGCAAGACCTATTGTCTGTGCTCAAGGCTGTTTCCACCATTCGAATCACACTTTTAATCCCTCCCTCCACCCCTGTTTAGTTCCTCCCAGGTCAGTACCACCTCCTCCAAGATGACCTCCTTGATTGCTCCACCTGGAAATTTCCTCTGCTGACAGACTCCCTTAAGTTCTTCTAGCCCCATCTCCTCTGCAGTCATTGTGTTCAGGTCCAGGGAAGTCTTTAGAAGTAAAGTTCTGTTTCTTAGCCCTCCCTGTCTCTCGTGGTCCTAGACATAATCACAGGTGCATACCCATAAACTCTGTTGCTGAGTTGAATAATAAGCCTCTGTCATTATGTGGAAACTTGGGAGAATAAGTCTCCAGATGCCCTATTCTGAGGAGCTTCCTAATCCTCCTAAAGAAAAGGGGCTAGAACATCAAATTAAGCTGCAGGGAGCAGCAGAGAAAGTTTTGGGCACCCTCCCTTGCCCCTGGCTGAACACCTTTGTGCCAAACACAAGGGAGTGATACAAACCAAAACCTCCCTGAGCTCTTGCTAGGCCTGGAGCCAGGCGTCTGTGCTTCCCCACAACTGCCTTCACCTGTGACACCCAAGGGCTTCACCTGTACCACCTGGCATGGGAATGGCCCATGAAGACGCCAGCTACATGAGAAGGCTGTGCTGGCTGGTGCAGGAAAAGGCAACTGTGGGTTCAGTCCTGGCCGTGTCACTTACTGGCTGATGACAGTAGGTAAGGGGCCTAGTCTGCCCGCGTCTGTTTCCTTGCTTTAAATGGAGCTAGTTGTCTTATGCTGTATGATTCCTCTTATCTGAGGTCCTGAAAGGAGTCAAATTCAGAGAAAGTGGAGGGTGGGCGCCGGCTGGGGGAGGGGTAGAGAGCTGGTGTTTACTGAGTGCAGAGTTTCAGTTTTGCAAATAAAAAGAGTTCTGGAGATTGGGCACAAGGCGGTGTAAATGCACTTAACACTGTTGAACTGTCCTCTTAAAGATGGTTACAGTGTCCTCTTAAAGATGTGTCCTTTACAGTGTCCTCTTAAAGTTACAGTGTCCTCTTAAAGATGGCACATTTTACGTTATGTGTACTGTCCCATAGTTAAAAAAATTAGTCTGAAAAAAGGGCTAGTAAGAGCTCTTCACCAGGTGGTAAGAATTAAAGGAGACGATGTGGTCAGTCACTCTGTACAGTGTGTGGCGTGGAAAGGACACTTCCTCCCTGTCCCTTTGCTAAGCAGAGCGTCCCTGTGGCTGAAGCTGTGGTGTGTGTTTGATGACACTGTGGCCCCAGGAACTGCTTCTGGGTGGCCAGACTCTGTGAGACGTGAGGTAGTGAGACCTCAGGAGAGATGTGCAAGCAGGGCGGGTTCAGCTATGTGCTGCTGGAGAGGTGGCTTCCGAGCTCCCTTCTCAACCAAGGATTTGAGTGGTTTCCAAGCCCAACCTGTCTTTCTCTGTCCTGCCATCTTAAGTGACAGTGCTCGAGTCCAGCTCTGCCTGTCCCCAGGACCCAGCTCTGCTCCTGCAGGAGCTTCTGGTGGGGTCAAGACAGATGACAAACTATCACATTTTACATCTTAATATGTCTCAGGCCCCTGAAGCCCCAGGAGAGGGATGGTGAGGAGGGGAGGACAGAGGTGGAAAGGACAGTGCTGGCTTAAGGGCAAACACTGGGGGTGTTATCTTGCCCACTTCTCTGAGTGGGTTTCTTTCTCTGTGAATGGCCCATGAGAATAGCACCCCCTTTATAGGCTGTGATAGTAGATGACAGGACATTGTAAATCCTTGACAAATGGTAATTTATATAAATTGTTAGTTTTTGAGTGTTTAGTGGTGTGTGTATAATTTGTTTTTGAGAGAGGGAAGAGCCGGGGCCCAGTTGTAACCTCAGGAGTTGTCACCCTCCCTCGGAGAGGTGCCTTTCACACTCTGGTCTCCCCTGCTCTCAGCCACCACCCCTGTCAGAGCTTGATCAGAAAGCCCAAAGACGCAGCTCTGGGAAGCCCTGGGGAGCCCCCAGAGAGCCCTACCCCCTCAGTCCTCCCTTCTTGAACAGAGGCCTGGAGGGAGCAGGAAAGCCCCAGGGCCAGAATCTTTAGCCTGTGGCCCTCTCCTAAGACCAAGGAAGGCCCTCAGGCCCCATGGCCCACACTCACTTGGGATCTTTGATGCTGCCCTCTCTGCCAGATGTAACTTACAAGCTCACTCCATTTCCTCTGTCCTAGGAGTGGTTGCTCAACCATTGGAAGCTCTCATTGCAGAGGGAATCTTTGACAGTTGTCAAAAAGCAATTTAGAAGTGACAAATTCCCAGGAGCAGTTTTGAAAACTGAGCCTGGGGTTCACCTGGCAGGTGGGGCTAGGCAGCACGCTGTCACATTTATGCAATGGAATATTACTGAGCAATCAAGAAAGATTAACTCATGCAATTTGCAGCAACATGGATGGAGCTGGAAGGGATCATGCTCAGCGAAATAAGCCAGAAAGAAAAAGAAAAATACCGGATGGTCTCACTCATAGCAGGAATCTAGAAAACCTAAATAAGGGACGAGGAAAAAGACTAATTATAATAAAGTAAAAATCAAAATCAACAAGCAACTATAAACCAGAGACATACTATGGGGGGGAGGAGGGAGTAGGATCAAAACAAGGGGGGTGGGAATTGTATGGGGACTAAAACCAAGATGAAAATGAATACATTGTGCAAAATGAAAAATGATGTAAAAAATATATAAAATTAAAAATAATAACAATAAATTAATTTTAAAAAACTTCTAGGAGGCCCTTAGGATTGGCAGCTGGGAGATTGAGCTCCAGGCAGGTTTAGGGTTCACGTGAGGCTGAAAGCCAGAAGAGACAAGGTCATTTCCTGTTTGCATGATGACACAGTGATAATGACACAGGAGCAACAATAGTCATAATATTAAGGAAAAGGAGGGCCTCCCCTGGTGGTGCAGGTGGTTGAGCGCAGTGCTGTGAACCTGTCCGCAGCCTCTGCAGTGCTGGTTCAATCCTGCATGGCCGTGGAGAAACCCACATGATGCAGCAGACCTCTCCTGTCTCGCCCACTGCTCCCCTCAGCAGTGTATTTCAGTCAGTCTGCCTGTTCTGCTCCCCACTCTGTCTCTGGTGAATCCTCTCACCCTCCCATACCTGGGGGGTATGGGGGCCTGTACCCCCATTCTCGTATGCATAAATAAATAAATCTTTAAAAAACAAAAAGGAAAAAGAAAAAGGATCAGCCACTCATTGTGTACTTGCTGCGGTCACAGCACTGTTCTAATACTTTGCTTTTCTCTCTCAATCCTTACTGCAGCCATGAAGACATGATTACCACCCCATTTCACAAAGGAGGACACTGAGGCTCAGTGTGGGGAAACCAAAGCCATGAAGCTGGTAAGTGGAGGTGTGAGGTTCTGGAACCCACCTCTCAACCCAATGGGGACAAGATACAAATCCCTGGGTCAGCTGTGTCTTGTGGGGGTAAATGAACCTGTGCATACACATGAGCGAGTAATAAAATCACACTCTCCCTGTCTGACTGTCTCAGAACTAGACACATGACCAACCCTCTTTCCTTCAGGTGCAGTCCACAGGGCCCCCACCTTCCTAGAGGCAGTCAAGGAAGGGGCTAGTTGTCTATGGGAGGTTCCAGAGCAGCAACAGCAGCCATGTTGGAAAGAGCCTGATGCCCTCCAACAGCATGGCGTTGTGTTGGTTTGATCCAGTTAGAGTTAGCTAGAATCTGTTTTAAAAGGTCTAAACTGGTGTGATCTAGTCAGTTCATGTTAGTGTCAGTTAACATCCCAATCTGGTCAGAACTAAAATTAGCTAAAATGTGGACGGGTTAGAGGCAGTTAGAGCCTGTTGTGACTGGTTTGAAGCAGCCAAAACCAGTCTGGTCTGGTCATCCCCTCTGGAAAAAAATCTCTTGGTTTTAGAACACTTCAGGCACTTTAAGATCAAGTAAAAAGTTGGGACAAGTTGTGTAGTGGGACAATGTGGAGAAGTGGAGTAGGCAGGTGGGGGTATTGAGCCCAGGGGGGAGGGGCCTTGAACACCCAGCTGGAAAGTGTATCACAGCCACGTTCACACCGCACGGAGCCCTCCAGGGCACCGCACAGACCACACGCCTGTAAGTCAATTAGTCTCTCACCCAGTGATTAATGGGAGGGAAACTTTCATCACTTGTTCTGAGTAAATTATTGCATATGGAAGCACATCTTTGATTTTATGAGTTCTCACTGGAGCATGAAATTTCTTGGAGGAGGTTCCCTGAGGAATGTGGCTTCCCTGGAACCACCCTCCTTGAAACTACCCCCCTCCACACACATCCTACATCGTATTCCATCCTAGCCTCCCCTCCTCCTCACCCCTGAGCATTGGCTCTCCTGGGGTCTCCACTGTATCTTCCCAGTCCTTGGAGGAGGGAGTGGGAGAGGTGATGTTTTCTGCACTCATCCACTCTTAGGAGAGCAAGACCCAGTGTCCTTTGTAGATGGCAAATGTGATGGAGAAGGGAGGTGGCAGAACACTAAGACCAACTTGTTGCTATCCAGGGCCAGATAAATTCCCCATAGTTCAGGCCAGCCTGGTGCGGGCAGGGAACCAACCAGGAGCAGAGGGGGGCCACCCACCCAATGATCTCATACAGAAGTATGCCTACAAAAGCCAGTGTGGCTCTAGATGTGAGCCCAAAGTAGAAACCCAGATGGTGAGAAATTCTAGGGACAAGCCTTTAGACTGCTTTTAGGCTGGACCCTCATTTTCCCCTGAGCTCCTGCATGGGAGTGACTTATTCCAGGCCACACAACCAGGACAGGAAACTGCTCAGGCCTCCAGAACACCGCCCTGCTCCATGCAAGATGTCTGTCTCTGGGGATCTTCTATCCACCTTGCCCCATGTGGACCCCCAGTCTGACACCTCTCAACATGCTCCTGGGAGCCTGAGGGCTGGGATCCCCATGGTCTTTAAGACAGGTCCTGCAGACTCTGAAAACAGATCAAGTCTATGATGTTGCTTTAGTAGCTGTGCAACCTTGGGCCAGGAGCCTTCACCTCTCTGAGTCTCAGATTACTTGAACTCAAACTGGAAGTGATATAGTACTCATCTCATAGGATTGCTGGGAAGCATAAGTGAACTAATATGCATACATGGCATAGTGTTAGCTGTTCACTTAATGCTTAATCACTGATACCAATTGCTAGCATTTTCCACAAAAATGACAATAATTATTATTATCTTGATCAGAGGCACTAGATGAAGAGTCTGAGCACCTGATCTGGAGTACTTGTTCCACGCTGTCTCACTTGACCTGTGGCCTCAGTTTGCCCACCTGTAAAGTGGGGGTAAGTACCTCTGCTCTGTGTACTTCCCAAGGTGGCTGTAAGAATTCAGAGATGTGAACGTTCTTTGAAAACTAACTTGTGGTGGACACAGGGTGACTGCTCACTTCCCTCTGTGGGATGCTTCTAGAAGTATGGTCACCAGGCTGATGGCCACTGTCACCCCATCAATGGCAGAGACCCACCGCCTCTAAGGTCATGCTCTCCTCGGAGCAGCCTACATGGGTCCTCAGGCCAGGCATAAAGGCCCATCCATGTGGGGCCCCATGAGACAGTGTGACGGGCACTGATTGAGACCTGTATTTCCGTTGAACTTGTCTTCCTGTCTCATTCTTCCTCGAACACATTGATCCCTCATAAACATCTTGCACCCCAGACTTCATGTTTGGCCATTTTTGTGGAACCCAACCTGCAAAGTCCATATAATGGTGACAGAATTTACCTTGCTGACATGACTGTCATGCAGAACAGGCTGCACTCAGCGCCTCACAATAGACCTCTTACCACTGGCGTGGATTCCTATAAATCTGGAATACAGTTCTCTTTGGAAGGAGGCTTTCCAAGTAAGGTTTGTTAGAGTTTCAGGGAAGGATAAAATGCAGTATGAAAGGTGAGAAGGGCGATAAGCCTTAACTCACATTCTTTCTAGAAGACTCCTACTTAGGGACCCTCACCAGTGAATGTTGTGCACTGCAATGAAGTGATTCTTGGTGATCCAAGAGCTTAGGCCACTGGAAAAACCACTGCCTCTGCTGGTGGCAGTGGAATTTTCACAACTCATGATGAAATGAAAAAGTTGGAGTGATACTGAATTTTAGGCAAGTGATTATGCTTCTAATTTTTGCTACTAAAATGACTACATAATGCTGATTGCAGAATATAGGTAGTTGTTTTTTTCAAAATGTCTTTACTTGGCAAAAGAGCAAACAAAAGGAGTACTGTACCCTAGAAACTAGATCTGGGTACCACTGACAGGTCCCCAGTCACCTCAGGGGGCTACCTGCTGTGCTTGATCATGGGGGTTAGCAAACTGTTGCCCTTGGCCTAGCAGATCAGCTGGACACCTGGAACAGGTCATTCTGGGGCAGCCATGGCTTACTGAATGCTCTTCTTGGGGTGTCAGTCACCTTTGTGACTAGGTGGGAGTGACCACGAGGGCCCTTTAAGGAGAAGGGACTGTGAGGACAGGCAGGCCTTAGCATGTCCCCCCCTGCCCCTGTCCTCCGGTCCTACCTAGGGGTAATAAAGGCTAGGGTGGGTCAGCAGCACCCCTAGATGAGTCATGAGCCCCTGTCATCACTCCTGGGCTAATTGCCACCCCACCCATGCACCAGGTACCCGCCCGTGTGTCCCCAGCTCTGGGCTGCTCTTAATGACATGTTGCAGCAGCTTTACGAAGCGTAGCTCAGAACAATTTTACGCCTCATTTGATTTATGTTCAGGATCCGCTCCTCTCTCAGAGGCTCCCTCCCCCTGGAGAGACAGAATGTATCATGCATGCTAGTGGGCCTACGCTCCCACAGAGTTGGGTCCCTGGGCCAGAAGGGCCAGTCTCAGACTGACCATAGGCCCTGAGCACAGAGCACCCATGACCTGACCCTTCCAGTTAAACCTCAGCCACATGCCTCAAAGGAGATTGACATGATGGGTAACTGGCCTTTCCAGCTTCTATAGTAGAAGCAGAGATCAACCTTCAACCAAAACCCACCACGGGGGCTAACTCCCAAACACAGAAATGGGATCCATGCTGGGGCCAACACATTGCTGTCATGGCCTCACCCCCCTGAGCTGTGACAGCTGGGGTGTGTGGAGACTTTGCCCTATCCTCTGAGCCTAACACATGCCTGGCTCCTGAGAAGTGCCCAGAAAACAGATGAATGAGATCTGATTGTGGAAATGATCTTGCCTCTTAGCGAGGGGGTGCTGCATCCTGCTGACTGTGTGCCTTGTGGGGAATCCCCCCTCTGATATTCTCTGCCCACCCTCTGCAAGGAGGGAGGTGGGTAAATGGTCTTTAATTTGATCATTTCTCAGCCTAGGTCAAGGTCAGTGCCTCAGCCTAGGTCTAGGTCACTGCACAAAGAGGCCCATCCATCAGGTCCCACTTTGGGAAGCCTGGCTCATGACTCACCTGGAGATTTCCATGAAGACCCTGCCTTCTCTGGAGAGAGTGGGAGGCAAGCATCTGCCATGCACTGGTGCTGAGGCTTTTAGAAGGGTCTTGAGCAGCCTGAGGATTCCCACCAACCCTCAGTGGCCCCATCTGTAAGATGAGGGTGGGTGGGATTGGTGACCAATTCTGAAGACCTCTGTTCTGGGATTATCTTGGTAGTTATCAGGTCCATCTGTAGAAGCGGCACTCACAGGTGTCCTGGCTCAGGGACATCCTGGAGAGAAGTCACTACTTATGATTGGCGTCTATGTAGGAGGGTGGGGGGTATGGTCTTATAGGACTGAGCCTTTAACCTGTGGGTTCTGCATTATCTCTGGGATGTTAGTGTCACAAGTGAATTAATTTGTAAGACAGTATCCACGGAACACTGGAGAATTGCTTGCTGTGGAAAATGTACATATTTGGTGTCAAAAGTGTTGTGAGTACAGAAACACTGTTTTTCTTTCACAAATTTTCCTTATTTCTGATGATCTGGGCAGCTTTGCAGTGTGGTTAGGTGTCCTGTTAGATGCCATGCTGTAGGAATTTATCTACTCTCTTTGTCATGAGTCGACCAGGGTTCGGGCTTGGGGAGGAAGACCGCAGAGATAAAGTGCTATTTTCATCATACCACTTTTGAAATAGTATTGTACACATGGAGGTGATGCTGGTTTACAACCCTGTACGTTTTGGGGGTACAAGGTCACACAAATGTATGTTATCACTACCAAAGCAGCCATAATCCCTCACTGTAGAGCAAGGAGGGCTCATCCCTCGTTGTTCCAACTCCACCACCCTCCCTCTTTGTAGCCTCAGTTCTGCAGATTTCAGGGATTTATTTTGGCTTGTTTCATTGCTTTTTTTCTTTCCATTCAATGCATGAGTAAACTCATCCAATATTTGTCTTTCTTATTTATTTTGCTTAGCATAATCCCTCTATTGCCATTCATGTTGTCACAAATGCAAGATTTCATGTTTTTTTTTTTAATAGCTAAGTAGTATTCCATTGCATATATAGCTACATTTCCTTGATCCACTCCTCTGTTGTTGAGCACTTAGGTTGTTTCCATAGCTTGACTCATGTAATAGTGCTGCAATGACCATGGGAGTGCATGTATCCTTCTGAATTAGTGTTTTTGCATTCCTCTAGTAGACATCTAGGAGAGGGATTCCTGGACCGTAAGGTAGTTCTATTTGTAATGGTTTGAGAAAGCTCCACATTGTTTTCCACAGGGGCTGCAACTAGTTTACATTCCCACAAATGATGTATGAAGACACTTTTGTTGTTTTGGGGTTTTTTTTTTTTTTTTTTTAGATGGGCCATTCTCAAAGGTGAGAGATGGTATCTCATTGTGGTTTTGATATGTATTTCCCTGATTATAAGTGATGGTGAGAATTTTTTCCATATGCTTATTGGCCATTTGTGTATCTTCTTTGAAGAAGTGTCTATATAAATCTTCTGCCCACTTTGTGATTAGGTTGTTTCTTGTTATTGAGTTGTTTGGATTCTTTGTAGATTGTGGATATTAGCCCCTTGTTGGATGTGTGATGTACATTTCTCTTTGTTTTAATGGTCTTTTCCTTTGCTGTACAGGAGCCTTTCAATTTGATGTAGTCCACTTGTTTAGTTTTGCTTGTTTCCCTTACTGTTGGAGTCCCTAAAGACTCTCTGAAGCCAATTTGCTTATATCTTCTTCTATGCATTTTCATATCTCTGGTCTTATATCCAAGCCTTTGATTCATTTGGATTAATTTTTGTATATCATTCTTTTGCATATGGTTGTCCAATTTTCCCAACACCATTTGTTGAATAGACTTTCCTTTCTCTATTATATGTTATTAACTCCTGTGTTATAAATTAACTGTATAAGTGTGGACTTATTTCTGTACTCTCAATTCTATTCCATTGTGTGTCTGTATTCTAATGCCTTACTCTTTTGATTATTATTGCTTTTTAGTATAATTTGAAATCTAGTAGCATAATACCTCTGTTTTTTTTGGTCAGGGTTGCTTTGGTTATTTGGGATCCATTAAGGGTTCCATACAAATTGTTCTATTTCCTGAAGCATGCCATTGGAATTTTGGTAGGGATTGCATTAAAACTGTATATTGCTGTCTGTAAAATGGCCATTCAAACAATGTTAAGTCTTCCAATCCATGAGCTTGAAATAGGCTTTTATTTCCTTGTGTCTAATTTCTTTCAAGTCTTAGTTTTTATTGTGCAGGTCTTTCACTTCCTTTGTTAATTCCTGGGTACTTAATTCTTCTTAATGTGACTTTAAATGAGATTGTTTTCTTTATTTCTTTCTCTACTAGTTTGTTGTATTTATCAGAATAAAATAGACTTTTGAATATTGATTTTGTAACCTGCCATTTTACTGTGCTGATTTATTGTTTCTAATACTTTTTTATTGAGGGTTTTCTATGTTTTATATCATGTCATCTGCAAATAATGACAGTTTCATTCCTTCTCTTCCAATTTGTACTATTTTATTTCTTTCTCTAGCCTAATAGTTCTAGCTAGGTCTTCCAATACTAGGTTGAATAGTGCTGGTGGAAGTAGGTATTTCTTGTCTGGTACCTGATCACAGAGGAAAAGCATTAGTTTTTCACCACTGAGCATTGTGTTAGCTGTGGTTTTGTCATATATTGCCTTTACTATGTTGATGAATTCTACTTCTGTTCCCCTTTTATTAAGAGTTTTTATCATAAATGAATGTTGGATTTTTCAAATGTTTTCTCTGCTTCTATTCATGTGACTATGATTTTTATCATATGTGAATGTGGTTAATTACACTAATTGAATTGTAGGTGTTGAACCATCCTTGAATCCCTGGAATAAATCCCTCTT